CCTTAACTGAAGATGTTGGAAACATCGCCGTTACGGCCTACAAAAACCATTCTCAAAAGTCGAGACTTCATCGAAAAAATTTCATTTTTATACCGTAAATGGGGGTCGACGAGCTGCATCAAATGGCGTTTAAATGAGCTGTTTAACTATTTTAGTTTCCGAGATAATTTCATTTTAGTGCGTCCAAAACGTAACGCCGTTACGTTTGGAGAAGCCGAAAAGCTGTAACTGTCATAACTGTAACAACTGTATAACTATGAAAACTGTAACTGCTCATAACTGTAGGCAAATATTCTAGAATGAATCTTCTACGATTTGCATACATTTTAAGAATGTCTCTGCTCTTAAAATGTATGCAAATCGTATAAGACTAACTCACTCTGAAATATTTGCCTACAGTTATGAGCAGTTACAGTTATGACACTTACAGTTTTACAGTTAACTGTAACTGACGCATGACTGGGTGTCGGTAAATTAAAAGATCCACAAAAATTTTTTCGCTTTTTCGTCACGATTGGATAGAGCGCATCAGAAAAAACTAGTTTTTACAATGTGGAACTATATTTTTGGATTAAAAAATTTCAAAATACTAATCCTTTATAAATAGGCTAATTTTAATGAAATTTTCAATAAAAACAAAGATTTTCGAGTTTAATTTAATTTTATAGTCTCAAAATCATTTTTTCTGATTCTCTATGCAAAACTACTTATAGTACACCATTTCTCATCTTTTCAAAATGAAACCTGACTTCATCGACAGAGACATTCGACCAGAATCAAAAAAGTACCCATATCTCTTCAAAATACATGTAATCCAGACACGTAAAGGACCAAGAATTCTTTCTTATTCCTTTCTGATCTACACACATGTAGGAAAATAGAATCAGAGGTTTTTTTTACAAAAGATTGCTTCTTCGTGGGAAAAATCAAATGGGCAATTGCCCAATTCATTTGGAGATTTGCTCATTGTAATTTTTATTAGTAAGTGTTTGCCTATTAAAATTTTACTTGGGAGATATACGCATGAAGTTTTTTTCGTATAACGTTTAGTAAGATATATGTACGAGTGTGGATAGACAGAATTATATGTTTATTTTGGAATTAGATAGTAAATGTATTTGAGTTTGTAGATAGTAAAAATTTGAGTTTGATGCATATCTTTGATTAAAAAACCCTCATTTCATTTTTTTGTGTTCTTTTTGGACCACAAATGTTTTGACCCACCAAGAAAAACCTTGCCCATTTTGCCTATCGTTTTTTTCCGACACAATAGAAGTTTGCCTATTGGTCTAATAATCCTGGTTACGCCGCTGTATGCTTTTTTTAGTAAAAACCCGTTTTCAGAGAAAAATGGAAGTGGCAGTCAGAAAATTAGTCTTTTTATGATCGCTGAGGCTGTCAGAATTTACTAAGATAGTCAAAAAAAGTGCACAAGGCAGTTTGTTCTGCAAGTTTTTTTCACAGAAACGCTATAATACCAGGGTAAATCGCACCGAGACATTTTTCTACTGATCAATAAGAGAAGGCACCCAATCGTCATAAAAGACTCCTACAAACAAAGACCTGCCATAGACAGATAACTCATACATTCCTACTGTTTAATATTTAGAAAGAAAGCAAACTGAGATTCAGTCACTTCTCTTGCGCTAATCTGTCAGAAACACAAACGGACAGATAATAAACTCAATATTCTTACTATATAAACACGCCTGCATTCCGTCCTATTAACGGTTAACTAATTCTACTCTCTACATATAACTTACATATTTTTCATCTGGATTTTCTTCTTCATTTTCGTGTTTTTATCTTTTTTATCTTATCTTTTTATTATTGTTGTTGCATTATTTTTCTTTTTACAGCGAACAGTTGCTGTGCTGAAGAAGCAACTCAGGCTTGCCGAAAGTCCAAGACCAGGATCACAATTATCATTAGTTTAATGTTTTTTTATTTTTTATTATTATCATTTTCCGTTATCTGAGCACTGTATATATCCATCTTTTTCATTCTTCGCTTAATATTTTTATCCAAATTCATCAAAACACGTGTAGAAATATATACATTTACACAAACAGACATTTATTTAAATTATCATTTCTTTTGCATTTGATAAACAACTCCATTTAATAGCTGAGTTCAAAAGATTTTCTCCATCCTCGCTTTTGTTGTCTGTCCTCACCTTTCATAAATTCTTTTTCTAAACTTTCATTCAATCAAAAATATTTGGCTACGCTGAAGATATTGATTAGCAAACTTGATGGATTATTTGTTTACAACCTTTCAGAATTAAATAAAATAAAACTTTTGATTCTGTTCGACGATCGCAACGGCGAACTATATCAAAATGAATTGCATACGATTTACGCCTTCAAAATGTATTATACATGCCTTTGAATAATACAATCTTGATAATGGATTTGGTATATTTTCAATAATATTCAGCGGAGTCACGGCTGTATGTGAGTCTATATTCCACCTAGTTTCACGTAATTTCTCATCAAGTGTGCCAACAAAACTATGATTTCTTTGGAATAGACTGAAAATTAAACAAGTGTTTTACCCCAAACGGACCTTGTCTCAATAAAAATATTCCTGTGAAAAAGTGAACATTTTCCGAAAACAGTTGTGAAAATTTGGAAACGCGATAGACATTATTTCACAAAAGTTCTTGTACGAGTATACATCAGAAAAACGAGTATTTTAGAGTCAAAAACTGAATTCTTCACAAAGTGAGCGTATTCATGGAACCAAACTTTCTGAGGCTGGTTCCAGTCCCGGTCCCGTGAAATTGTCAAAAAATTGGTCTCGTACATCCCTGGTCACGGTCCGATCGACTCTCTTGTTATTGTGAGGAATTGAGCTACATGAGCAGTAAATATTTACCAGAGATGTCCGTTTTTTGTAAAACTACTAAATTTGAAAGTAAGCGGCACTGTAGGCAAGCGATAGACATACTTAGATGGAATTTACGAATTTTGGAATTTATAGAATTTACGAACTTTGGAATTTATGAACTTCTGAATTTTGGAATTTATAGAATTTACGAACTTTGGAATTTATGAACTTCTGAATTTTGGAATTTATAGAATTTACGAACTTTGGAATTTATGAACTTCTGAATTTTGTTGTAGCATATAATTTGGAATTTATAAAGGATATAAGAATTTCTGCATTTTAGAATGTAAGAATTTCTGAATTTTGGAGGTTACGAATTCCCGAATTCAGAAGTTCGTAAATTCCAAAATTCAGAAGTTTATAAATTCTATAGATTCCAAAGTTCTAAAGTTCATAAATTCCAGAGTTCGTAAATTCCATAAGTTCGTAATTCCAAAATTCGTAAATTGTATAAATTCCAAAATTCAGAAGTTCGTAAATTCCATAAATTCCAAAGTTAAGAAGTTCATAAATTCTATAATTCAGAAGTTCGTAAATTCTATAAATTCCAAAACTCAGAAGTTCATAAATTCTACAAATTCCAAAGTTCTAAAGTTCATAAATTCCAGAGTTCGTAAATTCCATAAATTCCAAAATTCAGAAGTTTATAAATTTCAAGTTCATAACTTCCAAGGTTAATAAATTCTGTAAATTCCAAAGTTCGTAAATTCCATAAGTTCGTAATTCCAAAATTCGTAAATTCCATAAATTCCAAAGTTAAGAAGTTCATAAATTCTATAATTCAGAAGTTCGTAAATTCTATAAATTCCAAAATTCAGAGGTTCATAAATTCTATAAATTCCAAAGTTCTGAAGTTCATAAATTCCAAAGTTCGTAAATTCCAAAGTTCGTAAATTCCATAAATTCCAAAATTCAGAAGTTTATAAATTCCAAAGTTCGTAAATTCCATAAGTTCGTAATTCCAAAATTCGTAAATTGTATAAATTCCAAAACTCAGAAGTTCGTAAATTCCATAAATTCCAAAATTCAGAAGTTCATAAATTCTACAAATTCCAAAGTTCTAAAGTTCATAAATTCCAGAGTTCGTAAATTCCATAAATTCCAAAATTCAGAAGTTCATAAATTCTATAAATTGTAGAATTCAGAAGTTCGTAAATTCCATAAGTTCGTAATTCCAAAATTCGTAAATTGTAAGTTCTGAAGTTTATAAATTCCAAAGTTCGTAAATTCCATAAGTTCGTAATTCCAAAATTCGTAAATTGTATAAATTCCAAAATTCAGAAGTTCGTAAATTCCATAAATTCCAAAATTCAGAAGTTCACAAATTCTATAAATTCCAAAATTCAGAAGTTCATTAATTCTATAAATTGTAGAATTGAGAAGTTCGTAAATTCCATAAGTTCGTAATTCCAAAATTCGTAAATTCCATAAATTCCAAAATTCAGAAGTTCGTAAATTCTATAAATTCCAAAGTTCTAAAGTTCGCAAATTCCAAAGTTCGCAAATTCTGTAAATTCCGTAAGTTCCGAAATTCTGAAATATTGTGGTGGTAAGATTGATACGGAGTACATTGACTCGTTGGTGCTGCTGCGGAATTCTCAAATTTAGAATTTTCGGTGTAGACGGAGATCCCTCATATTTACCCTTGGCTGCTGTTCTCTTTTTGTGTGTTCCTCTTCGTTCCTGTGATATTTTGCCTTTTTGATGAACATATACAACGAACGAATAGGCGAAAACTCGACCTTGCTTTGAAAAGAACTGTTTAACTTTATCAAGACACAAGAGCACTTAAATTTTGGCGAAGAGTTTCATCAAAAACGGCTCGCTCTCAGTTAAGGTTCTGAGAGTGGGTTCGATTGGGGAAAGAAAATTTTTTTGTCGATTCGGCTAAGGCTTCGGAGGATAGGGTGAATTTCGGTTAGTAAAGGTCTTAATCGTGCAGGACGGCACCTCGCTTATTGCCGAACTCCTTTTCTCGTTCATTATTTCTAACCTTCCTCTCTCAATTTCTTTCTATCAATACTTCATCCTATATTTGTTAAAGGAAAAAGGAATAATTGAATGCAACGAATAGAAAATAAGAAGAATGATACAACATTCAAATCAGTTTATAAAGATTTCGAATGTTTTAGTAATCCATTCAACTTATGGATTCGAAGTATTGGATATGGCGAATCAGAATCATCCCGAAGCATCAATGAACGGAGGCTCAGCGATGAAATGTCTCTCAACGTTGCATTGGTCTCGTCTACATGTTCTACTGCTGTCGGATCACGTGTCGAAATTGTATTATTGTCTAATACTGCGGTATTACTTTCCGTTTCGCTCCTTGCCCTATCACCCGTCGTCACCATATTCTCTTCCTCAATAATCATTTCATCCTGTACTGGTCTGCGTCGACTTCGAATGCCCGGTTCTTTGTTCAACTTATATTCGATTAATGCATAATTGATATCAGTCGATATCGGTGCTACTGAAATATCACGAACGGCACGAAAGTCGCCGCAATTATTCAAATGTTCATTTTCTAAACGAAAAAAATTCCAAATAAATCTTCGAAATATCTCAACAAGACCGAAGGAAAAGCCGATAAAATCAGCATATTCGGCTGATGGTGTATGAAAATGTACAAATATATTAATTATCCAAATGTATCGAAAGAAAATATCTTCAACGATGGCAACGTAATAGTAAACTTTGGATGAATAGACGATTTGATCGCGTAAATATTTATTTTCGCCAGCATTCGTATCGAAAAAGCCCCAATCCATTTTGAGATCCCATATAAGTTTGTATGTTGAACCGATGAATGATGCAATTATCCATAAATAAAGAAAAGGATTATGTATGGAATATGTTTCATTAGTTGCACGTCG